CAGGAAATGTTGGATGACTTATCATCATTGACTGGGAGGAGACTCAACGTGACACAACTAACCTCTAAGTACTTTCGCCTGCGAAAAGTATATCAAGCATAATGGAAATTGCTGCAACACAGGCTTCGGGTGGGATCATGAGTCACAAAGTCCAACGTGTTCCGTATAGGTTTGGCAAGAATATGTCAAGGTAAATTTTCAACTTTTGTAACTAATATTAATCAACGACACCATATTTGTACGCAATTTTTTTTTGGACTACTAAATATTAATATATTATTATTTTGTATTATCAGCAAAACCCACAGGCACAACAATTTTACCACAAGGGACTTCCTCACAAGGAGTTTTCTGAAATCATATTTGAGAAGCAAACTACTATTGGGAGATACGCGTACACATTTACATCTCAACCGGTGGAGACCTTCACTTCTTCCAATTAGGGCGCGGTTGACATTGATGATAGTGACTTTGAACCTGATCCAGATCGGACGACAGGGAAAAAACAGGCAAACACATTTGGTCATGGAAGTCCAAGAAATAGGAGGAACAAAAGTGGCCCGGGGTAGGCACTTGTGGATGTCATTGGCAGATTGACGGACGTGCTTGTGGAGAGGCGCAGTATGGGGTCGAGGGCTAGCAATCACAGTGAAGATGAGGAGGACGAAGAGAATACCAGTGCTCCATCTGATCCGTTTTCCATAAGCAATTATATTGACATCTTGACGGCCATGCAAGTACCCACAGAGTTTTACATGCGGTTGTCAAGTATTTATATCAAAATCCAGGGTGGCGGGAGGTATTCGTGAAACTCCCGCCTGAAGAAAAGGTTAATTGGATTTATAACGATTTTCACAATTTGTAGATGACGCTGTATGTCCTAAGTGTTTGCCAACACTTTTTTATGCGCGAGTGGGCACTTGTCCCTTTATGGCTAAACCAAACTTTTGTTCAGCATCTTGATTTGAAAATGTCTGCTACTGTATGAACTTGTTCATTGTGCTAAAGTTTTATGTGAGCTTACATGTTTCATATGAGTTTTAGATTGTCATTAGAATTAAATATTGACTGTTATATTTTGCTAAGTAGTACAACAACTGTTAATTGTTGATCAATGTTTTGCAAATGTGCAGGATTAAATGGCGTCATCTAGTCGTACAGGAAGAAGACAACGGAATGCAGATGAGGAAGAAGAAATACTGACAGATATAACCATTGTACTCTGTGGTGTTGCCGCGTTAGAAACAGCTGGGCTTCAACTACGACATACATCTATATTAACTGGTCATGAGTACATGTTGGAAGTACTCAATGGTCATGCTGACAGGATCTTTGACAAGCGCCGCATGGACAAAGACTATTTTACATACTTATGTTACATTTTGGCACAGCAAGGGAAATTGCGACCAACCAGAAGGACGAGTATGGAAGAACAAGTTATGATATTTCTGACAATCGTTGGTAAAAACGAGACAATCAAAACAATGATGGAGGATTTCCAACATTCAGGTGAGACGATCTCTAGATATGTTGGCGCAGTTTGCTAGGCGATATGTGAGTTAAAGACAGAGTTTATCAGGCCACCTGACTTCAGTGATGTTCCATGGGAAATATCAACCAACAAAAAATATTACTCTTTCTTTAAGGTACTTTTTCATTATGTTTTCTATTAGTGGATAGTTAAGTTCATTGTGTTATTAATGTTGATAGTCGGTTAATATGACTAAAATTCAATTTTGATGATAGGACTGTATTGAAGTGGTTGATGACACACATGTATACGCTTCGGTTCCACAAGAATTTGGCAATAGATACTGGAATCGCAAAGGAACATTGTCACAGAATGTAATGGCTATATGCGACTTTAGGATGATGTTCACTTATATCGTTACTGGATGGGAATGATCTGCGCATGATTCAAGAGTTTTAAATTCAATTCTTGATGATCCTAATTCTGGATTCCCACATCCTCCACCAGGTATAAGTATTTTCTTGACATATTATAGTGTATTTGCTCCACTGTTGAGGCCCTAAATTTTCAAATAACATGTGTGATTTTATTACAGAGAAATACTATTTGGTTGATGCGGGTTATCCAAATGGAGAGGGGTTCCTTGCCCTTCATAGGCAAGTGGCTTACCATATTTCAGATCACCACCGTAACCGAAGGGGGCCACAAGAGTTGTTTAACTACAGACATGCTTCACTCTGCAATGTTGTCGAGAGAACCTTTGGCGTTTTAAAAAGACGGTTCCGTATTCTGAATGGAATGAACAATTACCTGTTGGGCAAACAAGGGAAGATTGTTATGGCATGTTGTGTACTCCATAATTTTATCAGAATGTACAATATGGAGGACCCTATCTTCGAACGGTATACTAAAAATACGGGTAATGAGCGAGTATATTATGATCGCCAAAACAGGGCAGAAGATGGCAGAAATAGAGAAGGACCGAGTCAACCGCCGTAAGGTATTATAGACAACATGACGACTGTACGAGATAACATAACGACTGAACTGTGGGCAGCACATATGACCATGTCGTAGTTGTTAATGGAGTATACGTGTAACAACGATTCTAAGGGTTGATAATTAGTATCTTTGTCATATATGTATTAATGTGATATTTTTAAACAGTTGGATTAGTACTTGAAATTAATATAGGGTGTTTTTTTTTTAATATTTACTGGTTACGAAATTACCAATAAAATGTTTAATATTATTAAAATGTAAATTGATAAGTTTTAAGGTTATAATAATACATTATTTTAATAAAATGCACCAAAATATTATATTAATAAATCATTTATAAAAAAATATATCAATCAAATATTCAACACAAATAATAAGGTCAAAATACTCAACCAAACACATTTTATTCAAATCATATTCTCGTAATAATAATTCTATTCAACTATCCAATATTATTTCTAAAATCTCATCCAAAATAATAAATCAAACAGACCTAACATTATTCAATTATAGAAGACAATCTATCGAGGTTGTTGATGGAGGAAGAATTTATCAAGTAACATCGAGGAATATTCATTAAATTGATTTGAGAATTTTTGCTTGGGGTAGCGGTAATGCCATATCCAGTAGTGGGTGTGTCATAATTATGTTCAATTCATTTGATCAAATGGAATTGACCATGATTTGGTAAGTCAATTTAAATGTCCAGGTCAACTCTAATTTTAACTCAAACTCTTTATGTAATTTCTTAGACACCAAAATTGAACCCCTCACCTTCTATTATTTAATAATTTTACCCATTATTGGCTTTTTGACGTTGACTGAATCCAACCACTTACTTAAAACGACACAGCTTCATTAATTGAATTTGTTCATAAATAAACAAAGTCAAAAGCACTACCGTAATTTGGTCAACTCTAGATAACTCTCAAATTAGTACGCCCATAGAATACTTTCATCCGGATAAGGGTTATAATTCTGCTTATTAGATAATTACATTTCCATCCTTATAGTTTTGGTTGACTAAGTTGAGGACATTTATTTCATATACAAACATTTTGATCCTTCTACGAAAGAGACCATTAATTGAATTAAAGATTATACTGAAATGAAAAAAAATATATATATCATTATGAAAATATTGAATAATCCCTACAAACTTAATGGACCAAGTTAATTATAACTACTCTCGAGACTCGAACACAAGACTTTTGGATATAGTTAACTCTAATAACTAAAAAACGTATCATCCGGTCATAAGGAGAGAAGCATACGTTTTTTTGATAACTTTGATGGGGAAAGGTTCGGATTGCATTAGTATTGTTTGTGTAATGCATTTTTTCCTTCATTTTGTTGAGGGTTATTTTCATCATTTTAGTAAGAATTTTCAAGTCAATCAACATTAATCTAACGGTCAAACAAAGTTCTATCAAGTCAAAGGACTAAAATGGTAGTAATTGAAATAAATATCCTAAACGGAACAGATCAAAATTATGAGGATGAAACTGTAATTCTCTCCTCTTGCTCTCGGGTAAAAGAATTCGGCCACGTGATTAATGACCAATTATTAAATAAATTCTCTCTTTAATTTGCAAAACTAGAATTTAAATAACCAATAAAAATATAAACAAAATTGTGCAAATTATTAAACAAAGAGAAAACGACATATTCCCACCTGACGTTTAGTGAAATCCCAAGCTAATACCCCTGGTTATATTTATTCCAAATTCTCCCCCTTAAACTAACGTCATTTATTTTATTTTAAGAGATTTTTAACTTTTTTAATGCAGTGTGGTGCACTTTAGCACGTTAAAGTATTTCGGCGCTTTTTTTACAGAAGATGAACTCATGTTAACAAAAAACGGCTCACGTTAATTAGTAGAGTCCAAGCCAACGGTTTTTGACTTTTTCTGGTCGATTTCGAAGTCCAAAATCATTTCCAAGACCACTGTTTGACTCTCCACAACCTCTTCTGCAAAACTCTTATCTTTACTTACTTGACCTCACTCACCGTTTCTAGTTACCTTCAACAATTATTAACAATGTTAATTTAAGGATAAAAATCAGAAATAAATTCAACCAAAGATATCAACTTGAGATTTTACTAAATCTCGGGTGAGAATACATCGTTTACTCTTAAATAAACAACGTGATGCAGGTTGGACGGTTTAAGACTCAAAAGAGAAAAAAGAGAGAGTCCTTAATTAGCCATCTGTCATGTTTAAGTTGAAACGAAATTATTCCATATTAAATTAATCATCTTATTAATTAATCTCAACCATTAATTAATTAATTAATTAATCATCTTATTAATTAATCTCAACCATTAATTAATTAATTAATTAATCATCTTTCAACGTTATATACACGTGCATATTTAAATGCAACTTGACGGTCATTCAACTATCGGGAAATTTCGTGGCTCTCAAACATTTCAAACTTTAGATTTACATATAAATATGCAGATTAATGTTCATCCATTTTAACATTTGATTTTTTTTTTTTTGGTTTTTTTTTTTTTTAAGTGGTAATGGAGATGAACAAGTTGCCAGAAGGGTGTGTTTCTACGATTATCTCGCTCACTTCTCCGGCAGATGCATGCAGATCATCGTTGGTTTCGTCGTCGTTTCGATCGGCGGTGGAGTCCGATGTTGTTTGGGAGAGGTTCTTGCCGTCTGATTATCAGGATACTATCTCCAGGTCAGGTGAAAATAACGTGAAGAACTTCTCTTCGAAGAAAGAGTTGTTTCTTCATTTCTGCAATGCAGTTCTCATAGACGGTGGTGAGAAGGTAAAATATTTAATTAAGCAATTATTAACATTATTAAAACTCCATTTTTTTCCCTTTCATTTTGCTTGACCTGACATGACATGAATGCATGTAATTAATTTAATGCAGAGCTTCAGATTGGAGAAGTCTTCTGGAAAAAATTGTTTTATACTGTCAGCAAGAGAGCTTTCCATAACATGGAGTGACAATCCGGAGTTCTGGATATGGAAATCTTCACCTGACTCAAGGTCCATTTTAATTAGTATAAAGGATGTTATATTTTCACTCTGTTATGTGTGTATACAGATCAATTCAGAATTCAAACCTGAAAAACTGTTGTTTTTTTAATCAGGTTTGCACAGGTGGCTGAGCTAAAAAGTGTAAGTAAGTTAGAGATTGAAGGGAAGATCAGGACCCAGAAGTTGTCACCAAACACAAGATATGGAGCTTATCTCATAATGAAAACAAACAGCGGCGCATATGGGCTCGATTTGGTGCCTGCAGAGACATCGGTGGAGGTGGGGAGTCAGTCAGTTTCTTCAAACAAAGCTTACCTGACTAACCAAGATGCCAAGAAACAACAAATGGAGTGTTTATTTTACAGCAATCGAAGGCAGATGTTGAAGCCGAGAGTCCTTGATTCAGGAATTAATGGTGTTACTGAAAGGAAAGATGGGTGGATGGAGATTGAAGTGGGAGAGTTCTTTAATGGGGAAAGTGATGAGATGGTGAAGATGAGTGTGAGAGAGATAAAGGGTTATCAACTCAAAGGAGGGCTTGTGATTGAAGGCATTGAAGTGAGACCTAAAAAATAAAAATATTAATGGAAGAGAACAAAGAAAGGATAAAAAGTATACAAAAAGTTTATGCCAAAAGATAAAAGTTTTAGATCTTTTGCGATTGTGATTCTTTCATTTGAGATTTGATTTTTTTCGATTTTTTTCATGTAAGGCTTAATTAGCCATGAATTTGTATTTATCTTTCATTGAAATGTAAAGTGATAAGCGGGAACAGTTTATCCACTCAGTGATGTGACATGAGACTTTGATACCATAATAAACGGGCTTAAGTAGAACTTATTATAGAGAGCCTAATTACATATATACATAATAACAGTTCACTAACATGGCGATATGGGACAAATTTAACGTCTAACAACATTTTCAAACAAACGTCAAACATGACTTTAATACCATGATAAACGAGTTTAGATAGAACTCACTATAAAAAGTCTAACCACATATATACATCTTAACAACCTACCAACTTAACGATGTAGGATAAATTCAACTTCTAACATAAAGAAAAATATTCAAAATTATGAAAATTTTAATTTGATGAAGCCAGCTAGCTAGGTAGGAGAAAGGTCATATTCAAATGCCCACCAAAAAAGAGAGAGAATATTGTCAAAAGTCTAAGGTCAAAATTATGAGTCTTAGATGACATGGAGCTTCCCCATCTCTGCAAAAGCCATTGAAATCCCAATCAAACAACCAGCTGTTATGGAATTTTGATTCTCCAGGCTGCTTTTCAATAAGAACATAGTTCCAAATTCCAAAGTCATAGATGTGCTCATATTTTCACTTCATGTTGTCATATAAACACATGTCGTTATATTGACAACACATTGCCTACTATAAATCAAAATGGGCAGGAGGCACATAAAATATTGTCAAATATATACAAGCTATTAATTACAGAGAAATTTACACTGTAATTAATGGCATTGTTTAATTTGCTCACATTTTATCATACACTTCACCTAGAGATGAATGTAGGGTTTTATTTTGTGTCTTCCATGGTTCATCTTGCTGTGATTCCGATAATGTGTGGGAGAAAGATTGGGTGTCCCCAATGGCCTATTCCTCCAAGAAAGGTTTGTTTCTCAAGTTATGTAACCCTCATCTCATTGACCAAGGTAGTAAGGTAAACAAATCCAACTCAAAACTTTACTTATAATTAACAGCTCATTTTTTTGTATTTTTGTATTTTTGGGTGATCAGGGTGTCTGTGCTAGCTTGAGCGCACCTCGAACTAATCATCGGCGTCTATTGAACATCCTACAAACCTAATGAATCAAGTAAGTCATAAATGTGGTAAGTCATGATCACTTGGTGGAATTCGAACACAAGACCTCCGGGTAACCTAAGGTTTTGCCATTCGGCCACAAGTTAAGTGATTTTTTAACAGATGACAATGTTTGTCCAACATCTGATTAACAGCTCATAATTCACATCGAAAATTCTTAGGTGTGTCAAAAAAATTCATTAAAAGATTAAATTTTAGTAACATTTTTGTATGTACTATAAAATTGTCGGTAAAAGTATGCCTCTGAAGTTTTGAAAAAGTAAGATAGCTAAGAGAGATTGACTTAATAACATAATATATATATAAATAGAAAAGAAGTGGTATTATTGAATATACCTTGCGGGGTTGGGATTGCAATTATTTAAAGTTTAGAATTATAAATTCACATTAAAACTAACCGTGTGACAAAATAATATCAAAGGCAAATAAGCAGCTCATGTTTGGTAGATAAAACAATATATATTCTCGGTAAATGAGATTAAATGATAATATATTTCTACCACATTGAATAATGCAAATTCAATTGCCTTTGATTCAAGACTATAATTAATTAGTTAATGTGGCGTTTTTAAGGTGTTTAGTTGCACAGGTGGTGGAACAAATATGATTGATTCATTGGATTAATCATATTTGTTCCACTGCTGTGGATGCAAACTCACCCTCAGAACTGCCACATTCTATCTTGGGTGGTCGGGAGTGAGTGATAGAACTCTTCGGTATATTACTCAAGAGGTCTTGAGTTCGATTCCCCTCGGTTATTAATAATCCATTTTTACATTATATATTATATGATTAAATTTTAGTGAAATTTTGTATGTACTATAAATATCGGTGAAGTATGGCTCTGAAGTTTTGAAAAGTAAGATAGCTTAAGAGAGATTGACTATAATTAACATATAATATAAGTGGTATTATTGAAATGTACCTTGCGGGGTTGGGATTGCAATTATTTAAAGTTTAGAATGATAAATTACATTAAAACTAAACCGTGTGACAAAATATATATCAAAAGGCAATAATACAGCTCATGTTTGGTAGATAAAACAATATAATTCTCTGGTAAATGAGATTTAGTACGATAACAATGTCTACCACATTGAATAATGCAATATTCAATTGCCTTTTGATAAGATTAAATTAATTAGTTAATGTGGCGTTTTCAAGGTTGTTATGTATGCACAGGTGGTGGAGCAAATATGAATTATGCTTCAGGATTAATTCATATTTGTTCCACCGCCTGTGGATGCAAACTCACCCTCGAGAAACTGCACACATTTTATCTTTGGGTGATCAGGTGGAGTGATAGAAACTCTGAGTGTATACTCAAGAGGTCTTGAGTTCGATTCCCCTCGATTGTTAATACATGTTACATTATATTTATCTAATTAAATTTTAATGAAATTTTGTGTGTACTATAAATTGTCGGCGAAAGTAGGGCTCGAAGTTTTGAAAAAGTAAGTAAGCTTAGAGAGATTGACTTAATTAACATATATAAAAGTGGTATTATTGAAATGTACCTTGCGAGGTTGGGATTGCAATTATTAAAGTTTAAAATGATAAATTTCACATTAAAATAAACCATGTGACAAAATATATATCAAAAGGCAAAATCAGCGCTCATGTTTGGTAGATAAAACAATATATATTCTCTGGTAAATGAGATTATGTACGTAATATATATCTACCACATGAATAATGCAATATTCAATTGCCTTTTGATTCAAGACATAATTAATTAAGTTAATGTGGCGTTTCAAGGTTGTTTTGTATGCACCGGTGGTGGAGCAAAATTGAATTATGCTTCTTGTATTAATTCATATTTGTTCCACTGCCTGTGGATGCAAACTCACCCTCAAGAAACTGCTACATTTTTATCTTTGGGTGGTCGGGGGGTGGAGTGATAGAAACTCTTGGTGTATTATTCAAGGAGTCTTGAATTTGATTCCCCTCGGTTGTTAATAGAGGTGACCACTGGAGAGTTTATGTCGTTAACTTCACACCATGAGAGATTAGTCGGATGCATGCAAACTTGCCCAAACACCCTGGTCACAAAAAAGAAAAAAAAATGTCACATTTTAGTTAGCTAGTTAGGAGTAATTCTTAAAAAATTATTGCACAATATTTATTAAATTTCAGGATAAATGATGACCAGATTTCCCCTTATTGATCATACACATCTTTATATAAATTCAATTTGGGTGGTATTTGGAATTTAATTCCTTTACCTTTCCCTTTATTTCTTTCCATATAGTGATTTATTATTGATTAATGACAGTATAATACTATCTTTATTGAATTATGGACAGACTTCTTGCTTAGAGAAATCACTACGCAAGAGGTTTATATGTTGAGTGCAAGGGAACTTTCATTAAATGGGCAAATAATCCTCTTTATTGGTCTTGGAAACCCTTCCTCATCAAGGTTGATGCTCCATTCAATGAAGAAATTTCAACTTTAATTAGGATAATATCATAGTTATGATTGTAGATAAAAGAAAATTAAATACGTACGTAGTATGATATTTATTAGAAATATATAGATTTCATGATACGTTAGCTTATCTATAGATGTATAGATGGTAAACGTCTGTTTCATTTACTATTACATATATTATGATGTTTATTGATAGATGTATAGATAACGTAAAAATACCTTATAATATTAATATATATTTATGTAAAAATATATACATTAAACAGAGAAAAATTTAGGTTCTTACATTAGGAATTGATGTTGTATCAACCATATCTTCAAGTACTTGTGGTGATTTGCAAAAGTTGCAGAGCTCAGAACATAAGTGGCTAGAAATCATGGAAAATATGCACCAAAAAGCTTAACCGAAAACAGTTTATGGAGCCTCTCATCCTCAAATTTGCTGATCGAGCTTACGGTTTAAACTCTCTTCCGTCTGAAGTTTAAGTTTTCTGTAGAAGTTGGCGATTCAAGTCATAAGGGACAGTTTATTTGCGCTGCGTAATGGCCAAGAAAGTAAGAAGAACAATATCTGGAGAGACTGTACTTTGGGTCCGCATTGCACCTTTGAGATCGAGAGTTCGTGAAGGAGGAGGTAATGGGTTGCTTGTGAAAGTGGAGAGGATGGCTTGAGATTGAATTGGGAAGCTTTTACAAAGTTGAAGATGATGATGATGATGATAAGGCGGTTGAAAAGCCCTTGAAAGGAGGGCTTATTGTTGAGGGAATTGAGCTTTAGACCAAAAAAGTTATTCATGGACCTAGCTTTGTTAATAAAATTGAGTTTATTGCAAGCTCTTTCTCTTTGTCTTCTATTAATCTAAGGAAATGATATACCCGCAACTTCTTCTCATAAACTTTCTCTCACAATCCCGACGTGATAGCTCTCAGCTTGTAATATGTCTCACCTGATGAATTGCAGTTGATTAATTGCGAGCTGTCATATCGGATTGTGAGTAGATTGTGGATGTATCATTACTCTATATTAACCAAATGACCTCAAGGATAGTAAAATTAAAATTAAATTAAAAGTTTACGTAATTCGCTGAAAAAACGAACATCAATATTATTTCACTAAAAACTTATTTGATGCTAAAATTTGAACAAAGTGATCATAACAGTAAGATGTAGTATTAATTACTTATAAGAATTAATCGGGGTGCGTAAAACTAACTCAAATACTCTTTTTAAATGAAAATATAAAATATGACAGTCATTAACTCTTAATGTGACACTATTATAGGATATACAATGCATTAGAGATATGAATCATATATGCTTTAATCGGGTTATTTTACTTATATTTTAGAAGAGAATTTTATTTTCAAATATTTGAAAATAATTTAACAATTTCGTGTAATTTGGTTATATCATAGACTTATTATTATTAATAAAATATGAATTTAATATGGGTTCCTAAGACAAAACCCAAGGTCCCAAACCTAGGCCCACTTGTTGATGAAAGCCTTTTCTCTGGGCAGCCCATGAGCAAGGCCCACAGAGAATCCACATCCTACACCAATTTAAAATACTCAAAGTGCAGGGTCATTATTGTAAAACCATTTTCCTCTAACTCTAAAACTAAAACCCGCCCTTCCTCTTATAAAACCCTGAGTGACCTTCTTACCGTCAGCATTCTGCCCTTAAGCGGCCCAGCCATCACTCTCTCTTGGTCCTTCTCTCTGAATCACCTCCTTCATTTGTTCATAAAGTTTCAACTTTGTATTTGATTTTAAGTCATTGTTTGGTTTTTGTAGTCTGATTAGGTTTTAGGTGGTTAATTCTGTGTGTGCTAAAGAAACATATATCAATGATGATAATGCTATAATCCAGCTCATAGAGGCCTTTGTTAGTCGAAGGTCAGGGAATAGACTCTTTCCAACATTTATCTGAGAAATATATTTTTTTACCCGTTTCATGAACTGTTTTTTTTGTGCTTTAATTTTTTTTTTTTTATATGATTTGACGTGTTTCTGTACTGGGTATTTTGTATTTGTGTATTTTTTCATCGGGGTTATTCTATTGTTCCCTGTGATGGTTCAAAATAATCATGCTAAGTATATCTGATTGTTCTCTGACTGAAAGATTTACTTTTTTTCTTGAGGGAACTTGGATGCTTTGAATGTTCCTTCACGGGCTTATTTGAAATCTTGAAAAAGTTGCTTTTGTTTGCTAACAATTGAGCTTGTTTCTTAGTTTGGTGTTATTTTTGTGTTATGGTATGTGTTGCCAATGTGAACAGAATCTGAAAAATTGAATGTAGGTTGTACATGGTTTTGTTTGTAATTGAGTGTGAAAAGAATGATTTTTCTAGTTGTGTGAAGATTTATGGTGCTTATGTTGTTGAGAGGGACTGTCCCAGTGATGTTTCATTACTGACCATGCTAATTCTGATAATTAGATGACAGAATACTTCTTTGTTATTTTCTGAGGAACTATTCTTCCCTTTTGTTTTGAGTTTTGTCTAAGATTATGTAAGACAACTTTTGTAATGGAGGTGTTACTATTGATTAAATTTGTTGCGTAGTTGTGGCAAGCACTCTGAGGCGTTGGGGTTATTCCGTATTCACGCATCACATGATACACTTAATGGTATGTTTATAACATCTTAGTTTTAGTACACAATAAGTTTACTAGTGTCACATTGTGATTGAATTTCTGATTATGATGTTTAGATGTTGATGCTTAGTACTTGTGATTACTGTAACTGTTATAATAATTTTTGGGTAATGAGACGGGGATTCTATAGAAGTCCAATACTTGACTGGGCGAACCAGTATGTTTGTAGATTCCTAAGTAACCGTCATAACAAATGCCCGGATGTTGATGGTCCTCCTCAATGGAGCTCCTCCATCTGTGGGCGGTTCTCATATTCCATCGCCTGTGGAGTGGCGTTGCTGCTTTTACCATTTGGGACTGGCCATGAGACATACATTTGTTATACCATCATAGAAGAATAGATTTTACATATTCTTTAATGTGATATTTAATGTTCTAGTTATGTAATTTCTGTTATATGTTTAGTTGTGATGATGATTTCTATTTGTATTTTTGTGACGGGGATTACTCAAATCCTTACTTATTGGGGCAACCAGTTATGTATGTACATTCCAAAGTAAAGTCACAGATAAATGTCCATTGACGTGATGGTCCTCCCAATGGGGAGCTCCTCCGTTGAGGGTGGTCTCATATCCATCGCCTTGTGGAGCAGCGTTGTTGCCTTTACCATTTGGGACTGGCCATGAGACAAACATTTCTCTGCAATTTTTTTTTTTTTTTTTTTTTTTTTCTCTATGTGTAGAAGAAATGTGGCCAAGGAGGAAATCATTCATAAAATACACCATCTTTGGGACTGAATGGCTTGTTTAGCCTTGGTGACATTCTGCAATTCTGAGGCCGTTTGTTGTTTTCCTTACTTTTCTTGTATAGTTTTTCTCCTTCATATAGGCTGGTAGTAAGATTAGTATTTCCTTGTATCTGTTTCAGTTTTTTGGTGTTGAGAACTGTGGCCTAGGAGGATATCATTCACAAAATACCATCTTCGGGACTGAGTGGCTTGTTAAGCCTTGCTGACATTCTGCAATTCTGAGGCTCTAATGTTATTATTTTGACATTTACAATTCTGCATTAATCAGATGCCTGCTGAATACCATCAAAATATTTTGCCTTTTATATGCTTTTAATTTTTGAATGTATTTTTATAATCTCAAGCAATTTACAGTGAAGTAATTTATCATCCTTGATCCGGCTGTGCAAATTTGATTGCCGTATGAGTATCGTCAACTGACATACATTTGAACTTAACTCTCTCCTTCAGCTTTTCTCGAATCTATTTTTTTCCAGGAATTTAGAAATTTAGGACCTTTTTCTTCCATGATGCCAAGATGAAGGCTTCTTTCACACTTCATAGCTTCTCATTTACTATTTACATATCAAAGTTGTACATTCTTTAGTAAAACACAGCTTGTTCAATCAAATGTAACTTTTTGTCAATGTTGTTGGCCATGGAATGAAATTTTGTCAAAGATAAACTATAATGATGTTTTATGTGAGTCACAATGCAGACAAAGTATGCCATCAAAGAAAGTTCTGATAGTCCACCTACTCCTGGAATCACTGTGTATCAGACACGTTTGAATCGTTTTTTATGAATGTAAAATGCCTTGTTCGTGAATGAATCACGTAGCAGAGTTGAAGTCAATGAAAGATTTTGTCTGTAATGTTCTGTGCTACCATCTAAACTATTTTCCCAGATTGTTCTATACGGTGTATCTTCCAGATTTCTGGAACATGAGCAAAAGGAATGATCACTTTGGTTACGCATGAACAGTATTGTGCATTATTCTCTCAGAAGGGTGTGGAAATGAGATGGATTGCTTTGTCTTTTTGTTTTGTGCTCTTGATTGAGAAATTCCCTTTAAAATTCCTCAAATGATAAAGAAATCTTGCTTAATCAAGAAATAATTATAAAGTCTGTCTTCTTTTTTCGGGGGAATATTGACAACCACCCTGTAATCCATAGCTACCAAATGCTCTAACGGTAAAAGAGTAAAAGAGTTTATGTTTCTTGAGTTTGAGTGATCACTAAGAGATTTATTTGTTCAACTTTGAGGTTTCGGAAGATTAGTTAAAGTACGCTCGGACACCTATACTCAACAAAAAAAGAAAAGAAAAAAAAAACTTTAACCCAACTCCTTCAAACCAAGCCTACTATTTGCAATCTTTTAAGTTCATCATCAAATTATAAAGAATTATCATCTGTAAAAAGGGGTTATTAATAAATCCTCTAGATCATGGAGATTACTATTAATCATGGGACATCATCATAATCTCCCAAGAGATCTTTAGATTTCAAGATAGTCAAAGTTTTGAATATTTAATTCACGATTTTTATCTCGACCCTCTTAAATATTTACTAATTATCTCTTTATCTTATTTTTAATACCAAAATAATTACCCATTCGTAAGTAACCAGATGATTTATCTACAGTTTAAGTGAGAGATCGTGAGGTTGAATTGTTACAGCTAATTTTTCAATAATCAAGATATATAAATCGATTTAACACCTTGGTTATAAAAAAAAAAAAAAAAAAAACCAGAATCTATGTTATATTATAATCTTAGACATTTTGTGTCATTAATAATTTAATTTATGTAAACTTTAAGGTGATATAAAATAAAATAAAGTTCTTCACATGGTCCCAAACTAGTAGGACCAAAATTGAATGAATCATCAAAAATGACAAAAACAAATAAAGAAGAAGAAACCTATGGGTGACACATCATGGGTGGGCCTAGGCCTTGTTTGGTGAGTGCATGATTTGGTATAAGCGATTATGACTACTATTGCTTCTTTTATAAGTGCTTCTTTGGGACAACCTCCTACTCAGCCACATGTTTAGTGGACCCATCACGGCATCACACATGGCTTGGACTATTTTAACATAAACTATTTTAGTATTTTTCAAATCAAAAACCAATTGGTCATAACCCATTATGCTATCGCTTTAACTATATAATAAATAACATTGGATAAGATAAGGGTTAAGTATAAAATTATGTTTTGTTTGGTTGGAAAGTGATTTAGTGAATGATTATATATGTTGGATAAACTAATCATGATTTAGGATCTTTTTTTTTCATGTCTCGTTTATTCTTGAATAGGCGAGTCATATCGTCCAGTGCGTTGGTTTCCTTATTTTTCCTTTATTTTATTCCTATTATTTCCAAAATATACATTTGTTTCTCTATTCTGAAAATACTATTATATTTTATTCAATTATTTTTAAACCCCTTAAGTTTGTTAATTTAACTAAACACCAAAAAAAAAAAAAAAAAAACTTAAAAATGGACAAAAACACCCCTCACCTACCCACATTTACCAGATTCTGGAATCTGGTATAATAGTGTACTACCGGTTGGATCTGACTAGTAGTACGCCGATATGACCTTTTTTAGCCAAATCCACCTTAGATTTGTATGGCCAAAGATCTGCCTGTAGCAAGTCGTTAACAACCCTCATATCTTTGGCTGTCGTTGACAACCAAATGTGACCAGATCTATGGTGGATTTGGTTGGAAAAGGTCATCTCGACGCACGACTAGCTAGATTTAGTTGGTCGTACGCCGATATGGCGATCCGGCCACCCTCCAGCAGTGATGGCCAGTTGCCGGTATTTAATGGGTGGGTGGGGTTGTTTGTGTAATTTTTAATGTTTTTATTACAGGGTTGTTTAGCAAATTAATAAACATAGGAGATGTTTTTGTTAATTTTTAAATCTTAACTCGTTATTACCACCAAATTCTTACTTTTTCAAAAATACTATCCAAAATACTAAAACAAACGCACCCGATTCGATTCTTAATTTAGTTTTATTTAAATTTTTTAATTTAACTACATAACTTTTAAGAGAAGAATGAAGGATGCTTCATGCTTTTTCTAGTTTCTCATTTAACAAGTAATCTCATACTTTTACGAATTGATTCTAAGTAGCTTTTACAAAGATCACAAGCAAACTAAGTAAATTCTTGGCTTTAAATTTGTTCTAATCTTTAATTTGAGCGATGTATCCAATTTTGATATAAAAAAATATGGTTCATGTTAAGAATAAGAATAATGCATAGAAGGAAGACCAAAATTTAAAAAAAAAAAAATTTGAGGATACTAACAAGCCCTAAACTAAAATTCAAGCTTTTTAGTATAAGAATCATCGAATTGTGGCCCAAATAGTTAAGGCGAATTAGGAATAGTGTGGATAGATTAAGTGAGAGATACGGTAACGTGTTATGCTAGTTTGCTCTTGGCAGCCCATGAGCAAGGCCACAGAGAAATCCACATCCTCACAAAAATTGTAAAATACTCAAAGTGCAGGGTCATTATTGTAATAAACCATTTCCTCTACATCTAAAACTAAAACCCTAGCCCTTCCTCTTATAAAACCCTGAGTGCCTTCTTACCGTCAGCATTCTGCCCTTAAGCGCCCAGCCACACTCTCTCTTTGGCTCCTTCTCTCTGAATCACCTCTCTTCCTTCATTTGTTCATAAAGTTTCACACTTTTTGTATTTGATTTTAAGTCATTTGATGTGTGGTTTTGTAGCTCTGATTAGGTT